CAGCTCTCGTTTGGCACGTCCGGCGTCCCTGTGACATGCCCTCTAAGGTATTGCAATTGGCGCCTTCATCAACACCACACTAGAAGTTGACGCAGTGGTTTGTAGCATTCATAAAATGTGACACTTACGAAAAACGTACACGGCATTAATATACGTATGTAGCAGAAAGGGCCTGTTACAGCTGCAACAGAGTGGAAAATAAACAGTGTGGAATCAAATGCGCCTCGGTTTGAATCTGGATTCTGAGTCCCGTGAAGCAGTGAGCTTGGGCTAGCCAGGAACAGCCCGAGCCTCAGTTTCCTCGTGCATCGAATGGACACAAACAGCCCTCACAGGGCTGCTTGGAGAACACACAGGGCACTGGGTGTGCCACGCGCTAGGAAGCGTGAGCTGCTCCTACACCGTGGCGTCAGCTCACGCAGCCCTGAGGACAAACGGTCCTTTCTCCGTCCCGAGATCTTATATTCTTCTCCTTGAATACATATGGGGTAACATGTCCTAATTGAAACCAACTTTACTTTTCAAAACTACATCCAAGGAAATGCTTTTGAGGGCCAGGGGTCCTTCTCCCTTTGCTAATGCATTCTACGTGACAGCAGCAGCATCGTGACAAACTCAGAAATATTCATGATTGGGGGGGAGAGCGGAGCCTGGTTTTAGGTGTCAGTGCAGATGAGAAAAAGCATCATGCATGAAGAGAAGGGGACAGAGGGGGGAAGAGGGGTGGCTGACATACGACAAAGCAGATCCATGAGCAAAGGCGTAGGGCTTGGACATATGCTATAATGCCTGGCCACTAGCTGACACTCTCTCTCCATCGAAACGTAAGACAGCATTGTTTTCCAGACAATAAAAACCTCAGAGATGAATTCTGCCACATGTGTGAACGGTCCCCCCTCCCACAGCGCCCCCACGCCTGGAAAATCGAATTGAACACCACGTCTTCAAAGGACCTCGGTAAATATACTACCGGTTTTACAACCTCTACCCTCAACGCGAACCATCGGAGAACGCATTTTCTCCGACTGGCCCGCGTTCCTGGACGATGCTCTTACTTTCCGAAACGGTCTTTGGAGAAGCGTGGAGAGGCCCTCGGGCCCCTTGCGAGGGACAGGAAAAGCAGAAGAGTGAGAGTCGGCGGTCTCCTTACCTTGAGCCGTTCACCTGGTTCGGGTTACATTCCATCTTGATGGTGACCCTGGCCGGGGGTTGCGACAGCCAGTCCTGCTGAGGGACACGCGGGCTCATCTTGGATGTCTGTCCATAGTCGCCGGAGGAGGACGCGGTCATGTCCGTCTTGGCGAGGTGTGGCGTTCCGTAGGCACACTCAAACAAGGACTGGTCCTCGCTCACAACTGATAAGGCTTCCTGGACGCCCAAAGAAACACAATTCAGGACACTCCGAAGGACAGGCATGTCTCAAAACGGTGCTGACTTCTGAGTCATTTCTAACTGGGACCGCATTTTAGGTAGTTTTATGGCCTCCATGTCTACTCAGGAAAAAAAAGTAGCTGTTTTTCTTCCCTCTAGACCATAAACGTCGGAACTGGCCGGCCCAGGGAAACTTTTACGCAGGTCACCAAACACCCCGGGCTGGACCGCGGCGGTGTGGATAACGCCCCCTTTAATCTCAACTCGAGGAAGTGGGATTTCAAAGGTCTTAGGAGACATCCAATTGCATGTGTCATTATTTGACAAATGCAATCTATAATCCAAGCAGACAGGGTACAGAACGGCCATGAAGATTAAAAAAAGACATGTGACGGCTCACACCTAAGCATCTGGCGAAACGGCCACGTTCCCAGCAGAGTTTAGGGGAGAGGTACTTAGAAGAGCCAGGGGAAAATGAAGCACCAAAGACAAACACACAGAGATACGAGTCTCTCCACCTCTAAGTTATTAGCCGAAATAGAGTTTCGAGCGGTGCTCCCATGATGGCGAACATCTGGATGATAAATGAAACACACGCAAAGAAGTGCTGTGAGCTATCCAGATGTCTCCAAATACCAGGATGTTTAAAATATCTGGATCACCGACTAGCTCTTTCTGCCCTCCTTACTTTCTGTGGACATCTTTGCTCTTTTTGCACGATTTGGGGAGAAGAAATACAGGTCTGTCACTGCTAGAGCATTTTTCTCCACTTTTAAGTCGGACAAACGGCTAGCCTCTGGCTACCTCGCCCTTCAATTCAGCAAAGGCAAATTCGATCTGAAAATTTCAACTACGTGAATGATATATTGTGCAGCTATTATACGTAATCGCTATGAGACGATCCCATTGTGGTTTATAACAGGACAAAAAAAACACATGAAGCTCTTTTTCATTGTGGTCCTCAGGTGTCCGTAGTATTGCTATCAACGGATATGCTAATGCTGATTCGGTCACACTTTCTTTCTTTTTTTTTTTTTTAAAAAAATGGGAACTTTGGAGCTGGGGGCACGGCGGAGACTGTCTAATCCAAACTTCTCATCCCCAAATAAGAAAATCTGAGACCCAGAAAGGTCCAGAGCTGACGTGAGCTGCCCAAGGTCAACAGTGAATCAGTGACAGAGGTGATTTGGTTTGATCATCTGCTCCCCCTGCCCCCACGGCCTAAAACGCCTCTCTTACACGTCCTGGTTTGGGATATATGTTTACGTTCACATTCCCTTCTTATTCTCTGAGTTGATCTTTAAATAAATAAGGATGCTTC